AAGCCCCCTCAAACAGCGGCGTACCAAGGTCTTGCGTCTTCTTTTATACAATCTTAAAGGCCAAACCTTGGTACCTCACGGTGAACTATAACATCTTTCAGAAACTCTGAGGTATGGCCGACCTTGCAGGCCTCCTCAGAATCTCTAAGGCATGGCCAACGTACTTGCACCCCTTTGCAGATCTTCTGTACGCGCGCGCTGGCCGCAACAGCCTCAACCTCAACGTGTGCTACGATGCTAGCCCCCCCCGCAGCGCCCATCCATGCGAGCTGTGGCGTGCCCGAGTCGGATTGCGGCAAGTCCAGCCCCGCCGCAGGCCAATTATCACTCCACAGTCGCAAACGAGTCTGAGATGTTCTGGGACTCTCGGGTCCCTTGACCAAGGGGCTGATAGGTGAGGAATCTGTGTTGGACTTCGTTGTTGTTGCAAGTTGATTGGGTCACGTGCCTACGCGCTGCCAACCCGGCAACATTGAAGTCCGTGAGTTGCGGGGCACAATCATCATGTCTCGATCCGAGCAGTATATGTCACTGCAATACAGGCACCCTCCTCATGATCAGCGGGATCGAGAGCAACCCCGGGATGTCGCAGAATCCGGACACCCCAGGCGGCTCACGCGGACGGCACTTATTCACCATCCCGTCTTGGCAGGTACGTGGCAAACAACCTTTGTACAGCTGTGTCATGCACCGCTGTCGAAGTTGCCTCCATGCTACTCCAAGAGCTGTTTGTCCTACCAGGATAGCAGAATCATCTCATTTTCATGATGTGAGCGAGTGCTAGAAGCATTGCGTCAAGAACTCACGCCATCATCAACGTGCAGGAGGTCCACGAAAGCAGTCGGCCAGCAGCACTTCACACTCAGTTGTTCGAGGAGTGGCAGCGGCAGGTGAGAGTGTCTCGATGGACGAGTCTCAAGCATACTCGTTCGCGTGTGCTTAGGTCCGATCCAAGGGAACTGCCATCATCATGTGCACAAGTTTCAACCAAGAGAGGTCTCATTGAGGGGCACCCATTCTCATGTGCAGAGGTCTGGTCGAAGGGCAATAGTGTTCATGTGAAGAAGTCTGTTTGAGAGGCAATCGTTCTCATGTGCAGAAGTCTGATTCAGGGCCAGAAGCGTCAGCCCGCTCCACAAGCCAGCCAACTCAGTCGGGGGTGGAGCAGCCGATCGCGCTAGGATTCAGCGCGGAGGTGAGTGTCCTTGACGCTCTTCAATTGCTGCAAGGCAAATGGGCTTGAAGAGCTCGCCTTTAAGGGCCTCCTCTCTGTCCGGGTCATTGTCTAGGAAGTCCTCAAAGAGCAGACAAGGTTGTCGCTTGAGCGGCGCTCAAATCCCCCTACTAGCATGAATTTTCGAAAAAGTCATGGCCACTACAAAGCCCTCAGGTCGTCGCATGTGCCCTTTCCGCAGAGGTGCCTGATAGCGAATGCGGCTGCATCTTGAAAGTCTGCTGCTGCCCCCAGAGTGTCTCTGTCATCGGTCGGAGTTGCCTCTTCTGTGCGCCCTTTGTCCCTAAGCTCCCTACCCAAAATTGTTGCTGCCTTGCAGGCGGGCCCCTCCTTCAGCGCCCCGCGTCCTGCTACCGATCCCCGTCCTGCTACACAGCTGGCACCTGCGGTGAGTCCGCTTGCCTGATAGTGACAGCCAGAGGCATCTTGACGATGATCTTGTCGTTCTCGACGCTGATCGAACCCTTGTCGCTTCGATTTGCGCCCTTCCAACTGACGGTCCCGCTCAGCTCTACTCTCCAAACGGCAAAGAAGTGGGAGATGAGGTACTCCAGCCAGCTCACATAGTCATAGAACTTCTCGCCTTTGTCCCATACTAGAGCGCGCTTGTTGGGCGTAATTGTCCACTGGCAGTAGTAAGAGGGGTACTTCTCCGAGAGGGAGTCGAACCCCTCACCAATGTACAAGCCCTTGATCACCTCTCGCTCGATCTTGACCGGACGCTTCTCGGAAACTGCATAAGGTAGCTTCAGGTCGTCCTGGTGGCAGTGATCGTGCACTGCATCCATTGTGGCTCTCTCCTTGGCAGTCAGGGGTCGAGAAAAGGTGAAGCGGCCGGTGAATCTGGTGTCGTAGCCCATGGTGCGATGCCATTTGAGAGCTACAACGTTCTCCTAAGTCCGTGTATGTAACGCAGTTCTAGTGCTTGCGTGCAGGAGGTCGCAGAGGTTGCAGGCAGGAAGAGGGCAGCCTCGAGCAGGGAGAGCTCCCCGCCACCCCTTGGTACTAGGAAACGAACCGGAAGCCCAGATGAAGCGGTGAGCTGCAATCTGCGTTTATGTTCTTCAATCTTGAAGGAGGAGCTCTGGCGCCTGTTGCTTGCGCATGGTGACTGCAAGGGCTCGAGGCATGTTTGGGTTTGCCTGAGCATAAAGCATAGGCTCTGTTTCCAATGAGGCTGGGCTGGCCACCCTGGGTTTGCCACCGTCTGCAAAGCAGCTTTCCCTTGAGTTGCTTTCAAGCCTGTTCTCTTTCAAAGTAGAACCGTAGAAATCCCGGTACATGCGCCGTCGACTGCAGGCTATTTTAGGTCCCTTGCTCATGACGATCATAGCAGCAGCTTAAGCCCTTCTTTCAATTGGAGCAGCATCCCCTGCATCGTTTTGCAGGAGGTGTATTTGGCACCACCCCCAATCAAGGTAGTGTTGAGCGCAACTATGCAGCCTCCTTTGCGAGTTGGCGCGAGAGAGATCGGCTTAGTCACTTCTCATGCTGCCGTTTTCTGTTCGTAGGCTATGCGCCACGAGCCAACGTCACGCGAGCCTATTCTCTCCAAAGAACTTTTGCCTCAAGGAGAGCGTGCTACTCCTGCCTGCGCGCATGCAGAAGTGAGTGCCCCATCCTCATCATTGCTAGTAGTATCCCTCCTCGTCATATAGGTCCGAAGATTCCTCCAAGTCTCTGACATCGTGGAGGAGAGAAGGTTGGCCCTCCTCGCCCTCACTTGCGTAGAAGCGTATCAAGAACAACGAGCTAGGACCTTCCACGTCGAAACTGAGCCCCTGTCTCCATTGCTTGAAGACGGCCACCCAATCGAGCCTTGTCGTTCCACTGCGGCATCCAAACTGTTGACAGGCGGCCTTGAACGCCTTCGTAACGACTTCGAAAACCAGCCTGGCTGACTTGCAAGCACCTTTTTTGTCGTTGATAATGCCGAAGAGTTCTCCGATCTGCTCGTCTGACAGGGCTTGATCTAGGTTGGCAGCCATCAGCTCGAAACCTGCTGCTACTAGTGGTGAAGCATTCCCCTAAGTGTCCGTCAACTCACCTTAGATCCCCGCTCCTTGCAGGTTGACATCGATCCAGGAAGCACGCTGCTTCCGAACCTGAAAGACCCTCCGGAGTCTGAACTGGCTGAGTTTCTCGCTGAGAGGCGGGCCCAGGCTGCAGAGGGAGGCAAAGCTGCAGCCGCATCCACACAGGTGGGGGATACCGCATTTCTAGTGAATACGGGCTTGCCTGAGCAGAAGGCATAGGCTCTGTTCCCATTGAGACTGCCCACTAAGCACCCTGGGCTTGCCACCGTCTGCAAAGCAGTTTCCCCTGCCAGAGTTTGTGATTTGCTAAGTGAGCAGCCACTGGCCGGCATGTCATAATGAAGACCCAAGGCCATTCCATCTGCCTTGTTGAACATTCGCTTCCGCTACCCCGCAGGAGGTTGCAGCGGATTCCGATCAAGAGGCAACGTCCTTTGGCATTGAGGAGACGTCGGGGGAGTCCAAATCCGAGGAAGAGGCCACTTTCGCGGATTTTCAAGGCATCGACGACTCCATGCAGCCCGACGCAGGCAACCTGGACCTGTTTCGGGCGATGGACTTGAAGGAGGAGGCAAGACGTGGGCTGGCGGCGGAGACCGTCGATGATATGCTGGCCCCCATGCGGGAGGAGATGCGGAGGAGGCAGGCTCGAGATGAAGACAACGCCCAACCGTCGACCTCTGCGTAAGTAGCTTGCTTCTAAGAATACTGTGGAAAGTCTTCGAATCCAACCAGGGGTAAAAGCGCTCCCGCATCCCAAGTCTTTGGTTGCCACTTATGCTCACCGGTTGACTCGTGCAAAGTACTAATCACTCATCAGCAATCATGTAAAGTTATGATCGGTTAACGATCCCAAGCATCCAAGCCCGCCAAGCTCTCTGATGAGCCCCATTGAGCAAGTGGTATTTCAGATCTGCCTTGATCACTCTTACGAAATGTTGAGTGCTCTGTTTGGTACATTCTTTGGGGCATGGCAAGCCTAAGACGCAACACAGGCTCTTCGAAGATTGCATCTTTCCAAGGCGACGCTCAACTTGCTGTAGAAGTAAAAGGCAGTTCTCTGGTACATCTTGGGGGGTATGGCAAGCTCTCCAGAGCGAGAGAGGGTCTCATTTTTGAGCACGGCACAAGCACGCACATCGTTTCCCACGTCGGTAGCTTCCTATTGCGCTGAGCCTTCGACTGACTCTAACGCTCCCCTCATGCAGCACCCCGATGTATGAGGCGGCAGTGCCCGAGCCGGCGGTGCAGTCTGACGTGCTCACGGGCAACGAGGTCTTCAAGAAGGACGACTTCCGGGTGCTACGCGTGCGAGAGCATGGCACCAACTGCTTCCATCAGGTCGGGGCCAACCCTAGGGGCCGCCTTCCTGGCCCAAAGTTCTTTATGCAGCAAGAGGCTGCGCTCCTGAACCATGAAGCGCAGGTTGCTCTGCACAAGTGGTCTGGCAAGGTCGAGAACGGGGTTAGGATTTCGTGGCGCAGCTTTGCTTCGTACCCAGATTGGGAGACAGCGCGTTCACATCTTGAGGGGAAGCATGGGTCAGTGACTGAGATCATCCAGGACGGGAAGCCCTGCAAGCCCTACCTCGACCTCGATGGAAAACACGGGCTCCCCTTCAAGCGTCAGCCAGTAGTTGGGCCAGACGGAGAGGTCGTAGAGGGCGGGGTGAGGTACTCGGTGAAGGAGGTGATTGGGATAATTGAGGAGTGGGCCACCCGCATCTTTATGAGCTACGGCTATGAGCTGGCGCCGAGCAGCTTTGTGTGGATCGAGAGCTCCGGCCAGGCTAAATTCAGCCTCCATCTCACCATCAACCAGCTGGCGCCCCGCCAGCTCGTCTTCGGCTCCAACACCGGGGGGGCGGCCCACTTTGCGCGGCGGCTCAAGGAGAGGCTGCGCCAGTGGCATTCCAGCATCGCCGCCCTCATCGACCTCAACGTGTACACAAAGGATCGTGAGTGGCGGACCCCGGGAAGCGCCAAGGTGGAGAGGCCGGAGAGCGTTCTGGCATGCATCAACCGGGGCCATTCGTGGAAGGATGCCCTGGTCACCTGGTTGGAGCCCTTCGAGGTGAGCAGCATCAGAACACCGGTCACAGCATAGGTGGTCCGCCGACTCAGCCACACTTTAGTGCACTGCAGCTTCTGACGCAATCGGCAAGGCAACAAACAAAGGTCGCCCTTTCCTTCCAGAATTGAAGGATGACACTGCTCTGAGTTCGGCCACCCGTACTTCCGTTGCAGGTGCCTTCCTAGGTTTGTTGCTCGCAAATTGCTGCTCTACAGGATCGTCCCTTTGAGAGAGCTCGGCTTTTGCTGCCATCCGTCATGTCCGTTTCATTCCCGAAAGAAGGCAGGTATAAACCGTTCAGGAAGCATCTTGGCATCCTCTCCTGCTCCTCATCTCTGTCAAATGCGCTGCAGGCCCGCAAAGAGGTCAAGGTGCCGTTCCAGCTGCCGGAGAGGCTTCACGAGAAGTTCAAAAACCCTCGAGACATGTCTGAACGGGGCACTGAGCGCAGCTCCAAGAACGAGGAGTTCGTCAAGGCCCGCATGCTGACTCTTCTCAGAGAGCGCTTGCACCCCACCGCTTACGAGGAAGGCCCCGATCGCTTCAATTACAGCGATCGCTCGGAGCCGTGCTACACGGGTCGGATCCATGAGAACCGCCAGAATCTAACCTGCCACCTCAACCCAAACGGTAAGATCTATGCCCTATGCTTCAGCAACAACACTGAGGGCGGGGACTCACAGTTGCCGTGTGTTAGCAGGGCGTTCTGCCTTGGAGACTTGTTCGAGGACAACATCTCGTTTGAGGCTGGCGCTGTTAAGGTGGACATGCAGCACCTTAAGCGGGTCCCAGGCGCGTCAACACCGGAGCTTGTGGCCGAAGTAGCAGCGGGTACGACGACGGCGGACGACCTGATGAAGCTGAACACATTCACTAACGAGTGAGCGACACTCTTCACAAAGCATGGCACTCCAAGTTCGTTGCATGAGGGATCTTGTCATCGATTGTTGCCAGCCTGCAGATTGGCGTTGATTATGCGGATTGCCTTTGAGCACGTGCATGCGCCCTCAACTCCAAGAGACACTCGTCTTACTTGACAACGTGCAGCATTCCTCACTCATAATTAAGGCTCCTCGCAAAATCCCCTTGTGCCCCTCAGCAGCAACGAGGTTGACTTGTTCGCGTCCCAGGACGTGCCAGCACAGCAACGCTCGTGTTTACATTTCGCAGGTGGATCGCGGGCAAGTTTCCCCTCCTTGGCATCCGGTCAGGTGTGAACACCGGCAAGACGGTGCATTGCGGGGCGGTCTCGGACGAGCTTTATGAGCTGGTTCGGGAAGCAAGCGGCCGCCCCATGAGGACGGGCATGATCACTTACCGGGTGGCACAGGCCGAGGATCTCAAAGGGCGCTTTCACCGCACTGCGAACTACCTCGATCTGAAGGCGGATTATGAGAACGAATGGTTCCAGGATCCGACTGATAAGCGCATTCTTCTAACAGCGCTCCAGTCTCGTGAGCAATTCCCGGAGATTGTAATTCAAGTCGACAGTCTTCTGAACCTTCGGCCTGATGGCATTGGTGAGGTTGCTCCGTTCGACCTCGTGATCTTGGACGAGGTGGCAAGCATCCTCGCGCATCTCTCGGCGGCGACCTTGAGAAATGGCATGGAGACTGCGGAGCTGTTCTTGGAGATTGTGCAACGAGCAAAGCGCGTGCTGGCCATGGACGACGGGTATGGGCAGCGGGAGCACGAGTTCTTCCGTCTTGCGAATGTGCCTGGAAAACTCATCATCAACACGAGAAGGGCAACGGTAGGCATCGAAACTCTCACCCACTCGGTCGTGTGTCTCAGCGCGCCCTTCGAGCTGGATTTGCTTGTCGCAAACTTGGCCATCAAAATTCTGGACGCTGAACATCGACCAATGAAGGCTGTTTATCCTTTGGCTAGGATGGTGATGCGAGTGTCTATCTTAGTGCTTCTTCGCTTCCCCTCGTTGGTTCCTAGTCGCCCGCACTTATGCGCTGTTGGTGACCGCTTTGCTAACATCTTGGCTTCGCCTAGCTACAGCTTCCAAAGCCTTTCTCGTTATGGCTCAGAAGGACCCCGCTCCTGGTATGCAACGCTTTCAAGGGGCGCTGATATCGTTGAGCTCTTTCTGCGCAGGTTCCCCTTACCTTTCGCGTCTGTCAGGATGAGAGGGCGTGGCTGGAGCGGATTGTCAGTGATCTTGCTGCTGGCAAGAACGTGGTCGTGGTCAGCATGTCTGCAAGGGTTTTAGAGCGCATCCAAGACCGGGTGATCACGCAGACCTCGCTCGGGCTCACAGAGAGCGACATTCTCATACACAGGCCCTAAGTGGGGGGGACAACACGGCTCTCTTGAGGAACGTCGCTGTGAACTGGAAGGTCCGTCTGCTCATGTACAGCCCAACCGTCGAGGCTGGCGTGAACTTCGACGAGGATTGGTTCCACACCAAATTCCTCTACATGTGCCGCAAGAGCACGACGGCTCGGGCAGCCTGGCAAGCGTCGCTGCGGGTCCGGCGAACGCAGAGCTCGCTGGTCCATTCTTTCGTCCAGGAGTCCATCTCTGTTGTGCTCGACTGTGCGCCAGTGATCCCAGCCTCCTGTCTTCACACTTATGGTCAGGTGAGCAGTCTGCTCATGGCAAACGGCGTTGCATGGCAGAGCGCACTCAAGATGCGGCTCGCATTACCTTGCATGTTTGAGCAGCTTTAAAATTCTTCGTGAGCGCTGAGCTGTCCGTTCAGAGCTTCTGCCCAGTTGCAACTCGCTTGAGTTGGTGTCACGAGGCCTATTGGGCTGAAATCGGGGCCTCAATCTGAGCAATTGATCTGAAATTTACTCTATGAAAGTCCTTCGGGACTTCGTCCCCACACAGAAGCGCAGCCTGCTTGTGAAAACCAGAGCGTATGCTTATGACGGATCTTTCTCCACAGACTTCGACGGCGATGGCGGCGCGGACACCCGACTCAAGCGACGAGTCATCTTCGCAGGTATAGTTCGCACCATCCTACAGACCATCTCGTTCCTGCGTCATCTTGAAGTTGAGCGTATGTACAAGCTACTTGTACCGAGTTTAGCGTTCCGATTGCTTGAAGCTGAAGCTGGCACCTCGAGTCTCGGAGGGATGATGTGTCTGGATCTTTCTCCAACCACTAGGAGGGCAACCGCTTGGACGAGCAAGTTGCGGGCGGATCTTCTCTCGACCAGCCGTCGAGCCCCTACCAGCCAGCCGTGGAGGCTGCGACTTCGAAGCAGCAGCTCAAGGTAGGACATCAGGTCTCCCGTGCTTTTGGCTCTAGTGTGAATGTACAAAGTGTGAATTGCCAGAGGAAAGCGCAAATCCTTTTTCTTTGTCGTCCAGTCAAGTTAGTTCTGAGGATCACAGGGCACGATCCGAGCACGATGTGACACGATGAGGCTGTATTCTCTTTGCGAGAACCTCTTTGGTCAGGTGAAAGATTGGCATGCGTTGCCAAGGAACTCAAAGCAACCTATGTGAGTGGGGCGCAAGGTCTGCTATGCCCTCAACATTTCGAAGGGTTGTAGTTCACCGTGAGGTACCAAGATTCGGCCTCTAATCTTGTATAAAAGAAGAAGCAGAATCATGGTACGCCTCTGTTTGAGGGATCCCTGCAAGGACGGCCATACCTCAGAGTTTCCTTCAGATGTTGTAGTTCACCGTGGCGTACCAAGATTCGGCCTTTAAGATTGTATAAAAGAAGACGCAGATTCATGGTACGCCTCTGTTTGAGGGGCCTTGCAAGGTTGGCCATGCCTCAGAGTTTCCTTCAGATGTTGTAGTTCACCGTGAGGTACCAAGATTCGGCCTCTGAGATTGTTTATAAAGAAGTCGCAGAATCATGGTACGCCTCTGTTTGAGGGGCCCTGCAAGGTCGGCCAGGCCATGGTCTTTCTTTCCAAATCGCTCACATCAACCTTCTCGTTTGCAGCGGTCCTTCATTCCCCCACGCCGCGTCACCGTAGCGGAGACGCTGCAGTATCTACAAGCCTGCACCACCCATCAGACGGCTGCGTGGAGGCGGGTCCCTGCGCGCGCAGAGGGCTCTGCCCAACCTGTTCGGCTGATCGAGGACGGCCCCCTCTTCCGGGCCTTTGTGCACACCGAGGCGGAGCGGCAGAACTCTGACGCGCGGCTCCTTCAGGAATTCCAGCTGCAGTTGCGCGAGCTGGCCACGTGATAGAGATTGAGCAAAACGAGGAGGATTCGGGCAAGAGTAAGAAGCGGCGCGGGTTAGATCCAGAGGCTTTCAAGATCATCGAGGCGAATGCGATCGATGAGGCGGAATATAGGCGGTTGAAGCGGTTGCGAGATGTGAAAAGGGACAGAGGGGCAGAGCACTTAGAGGTGGTTAGGTACGAGGCCTGCCAGTACTACGGCCTGAAGAACATTGACGAGCACTTCTTCAAGGAGACCCAAGCCGCCTTCAAGCCCCCGTTTTCGGAGCAGCTCGACTTCTTGAAGGTGATAGTGAAGGGGAAGTTTCTTGACGAGGGGACGGTGGGTCGCAAGAGCAACGAGGTCGTCATGGTGGAGACTGCACGGACGTTGCTTCAGGACATGGGCCTTGCGCATGCATTCGACGTGGCTGGGGAGACTCGCTCGCTGCTGGAAGGCGGACTTAGAGATCGGCTGCTGAGGTCGGATCTGTTCAAAGGCCGCCCTACGTGCGCTGGTGCAAAAGCGGCAATGGGTGAGCGTGCCGTTTCTAAGATGTTTGGCATCGACTTGCCGGCACCCAGAGAGGGAAAAGCTCATCTCGACCCGGGCCAGTTCAAGACCGTAATAAATGAAGTGCTCGCGTTCATGGGCCTCAAAGTTGGGAAGCAGATCGAGGTGAAGCGTCCACGGCGAGGGAAAGGGAAGCAGAACGAGTCGGGGTCTGGAAATAGCGACTACAAGTACGAGCTGGAGCGAAAGTACGTTGTCAGGATGGCAAAGCTTGTCAAGTTGCAGTTTCGTGAAGTCCCTCGAGTCTGGCAGTATAGGGGGGAGCTGAGCCCCGCACTTCGAGAGTACCTCGACAGCGTAGATGCGAGTGACTTGGATCACCTGCTACGGAGGCCGTCTGGCCATCCGTTGTTGGAGAATCTTGCTGCGCCAGACGCATTGGGCGAGGATTGTATTATTAATCCGAGAAATAGGTTGCCGAGTGATTAGATTTCAAGAATACTTGCTCGTGTTTGTGAATATCGGTAGGGCATAATTCTGCAATCACACGTCATACGCAAGCTGTCGTACAAATGAATGCATGTATAATTTCAAGACCTCATAGATAATAGAGAGTTGATGGACCGCATTCTCGACTTTCAACCGAAGAACCGTCTTGCAATCATGGATATGGATCGGGTAGTGCTCAACTCAACCAAATCGGCAATACTGCGAGCATATCGTGAGAGTGGGGCAACTAGCATTACCTTAGATGTCGGGGCTTTGGCTGGAATTAGAGCCCTAGCACCTCCCTTCGACATGAGGCACATAACTCGTGAAGTCATGCGTCGATTGTGCGATGAGGGTTTTGATGCGGTATGGGACAACTCGTCTGCCAGTCTCTACACAATCCGTGTAAGTTGGCGACGCGCGCTGCGTACTTCACATATGGCAAAGAAGATGGGGCGCAATCAACACTATGTCTGCAATGCGTATAAACCAAGGCATCCGTCATTGTTGAGCAAATCACCGCGCTATGCAGAGCGGGGGTGCATGCAAGAACCTCATGTGCCGTCGGTTCGATGTCAAGAATCTATCGAAGATGTAGGCTTCGTTCCGGGTCTAGAGTACCTGGTCAATCCTGCTAAGATGAGTAAAAGCCAGCTCCAATAGGGCATGTGCATGCCACGAGTAAATGCGGAACGTTATCACCGAGCAGATGATCGCTATACCTACATTGGTTGTACGGGCTGCGAGAGTTGCTGTTCTTTCTTCTACATGCTCTTGAGCTGCTTTTTCGAAATCCGATTGTCACATTCATCCTCAATGTTTGGAAGTCTGTGAATTCGTTTGCCTTGATACATTCTCTTGTAGAAATCATCTACCTTCATCTTTAATGCAGAAGTCTTGTAGGTCCCTCGAAATGGCATATTCGCCGAAGCCTGCTGTTCCAATGGTAATGGAGCCAAAGTCACTTCGTATGCATATGTCTTATGATTGTTTCCTCTTGTCGTTTCCTCGGTTAGAACAGCAACTTTGTAGGGCATATTCACCTTTTCTTGCTTTTTCAAGGTCCGACAGATTGCGCTACCTGCCCGGGTACCAATCTGGCAAACACGCCCATTTGTATTGTCAATGTGGAAGCGGCCTTTGCTGAGAATATTAGATCGATCCACAACTCTCTTATTAACGATTTCAAATGCATTCAGTATGCGAAACGAGCGAAGGTTTGAATGAGCTCCATCGAATTGGGAGGGTTCATCGATCATCACTGGGGCTTTGTCTCTTAGAAGGAAAAAATGCTTCAGCTTTCTGAATGACCCTGTAGCAAAATAGCTTTCTATTATGCGGCCCTGAGAGCTCAATGAGTTGGGCACAGCACACAAGATGCCTCGCGAGCAAGGAAAGGTGCAAGCACGGAAGTAGAGAATAAGGACCCCTAATGCACTTAAATCGTGAACGTGCTCCCTCACTAATTCTATCTTAAATGTATAATTTCCTGGAAATTTCCTATTTTTTTAAGGGGCCCTGTTGCGCTTTCTTCCGATTGATCTTTAGCATCACTATAAGCAATTCGAAAAATGTGACCTCCTCTCCTCACAATTCTGGATTGCTGAATATAACCGTTCCAATAACAAACAAAAGTGAACGGCTCATGGTTACGGAACCAACTCAAACCTCTGAGTGCGTTCCAAAATTGCAGAATTATTCTTGGCGTAACATCATAGCAGCATGGCTATGATATCAGCTGATTCCTCGACCGTTGACGAAGCATGCAACGGCCGTTCTGAAAGCAACGCAACCTGCTCCGAAAATATCAAAACGATACCAATATGCGGAGAACAGTATTGTCTTAGCGTCTTGCAAGACGGGTCGAATCGAGCGGCATCCACTTGCAGCCAATATGTCAACAGTCTAACCGGGATCTATCGCGCACTCATGAGAAACGAAACAGCCGAATTGCCTGCCAGTATAGACTGGATTCGAGATGCTGCTAAAGTGTTGAATGTTATTAAGGAGCGAGAAGGCAGTGCTGAGAAGCCCTGGAGTCCTGGCAGCGTGTGCAACAAGCTCACTCCATTAATGGCCATATCGAAATCACAAAAGTGGACCGATGCTTATGAGCAGTATTACACAGCATTCATCTTGGCGAAGAATAAACAGCGAAACCAAACCATGTGCCAAATGCCCACTGAACGCGAGAAAGGAAATTGGATTAGCATGGAAGAGATAAAGGCAAAAGTGGAGGAACTTGGACGTAGAATCAGACGGCAGATTGTTCCCAATTATCAAATCGGGAAGCCTCTCGAGCGCAGCGACATCAAAGTCGTCTTTCAGCACCTCATTTTGGCTGCAAACACGCTTGAGCCGCCAAAAAGAAGAGACTATAGTGACCTCCCCTTGCAGAAGCCGGACGGTTCGTTCTATAGTGTGGAAGCGCAGAACGTGTTTGAACAATCTGGAAACGTCATGAAGGAATGCTCAAAGGACTCTTTCGTGCTCACATTGAAAACGTTCAAGACCTCGGCAAAGTATGGCACTCAGGAGTTCCCATTGAGCAGACGCCTTTCGCAATACATCAAGCGATCTTTAATCCTTGTTCCGAGGCCGTTTTTCTTGACGAAACTGAATGACCTCACTAAACCTATCTCGGACAATCACTTGAGCCGGTTTATTGCAGATATTGAGTTTAGCAAAGGGAGATATCTGACCACAAACCATTTGAGGCACATCTACATCTCAGATGCGTTTAAAGGCGACCATTCGATCTCTCAGAGGCAAGCTGTGGCGAAAAGAATGCTCCACGACTGGTGGACAGCAATGCAGAGTTATGAAAGGAAGCATCATGGAGGCGGCTAGACTTCACATAACAATGATGGACTCGTTTTAAAGCTTCTCTTCCGACTCTTGAATTCTCGTACTAACTGCTAGCATTATGATGCCTCAATAGTGGCTAAAGCGCTTGGAATCATGTGAAAGGGTTCTTCGCGGCTTAGATGAGGGCCTAAAACATTGGCTTCGATTGTGAAACCAGCATCTTTCAACTTGATCAATGTCCGTTTCTGTGGTTTGATGCCCTTTAGGTATCTTGCGTACGCCTTGCTTAACAGGATTGAATCTTTGTTCCTCTGATAGTATCGCCTCACTGACATGCAATGCTGTTCGGGGTGCATCTTTCGATATTGACGTTGTGAGCAGCACGTGTGGCACTCGCAGCTTGTTGCTTCGTTGGAAGGTGCCTCTATGTTGCCGTTGCTAGCCATTTGTGATTGGATCACTACAAGCAAGCCACGAAAATATTTCAGCGACGGCTCGACCGCACGCGTTCAAATATGGCCATTGATTATTTCCTCAACCAAGATGAGGATCCAAGTTTGTCTGCCATGGCCTTTGAAAGTCCCACGAGCACCCCCCAGCACGTTGCTTCTGATACTAATGATCATGCTGCAGCGGTGCCCGGAGCTTCCAACAATGTTGTAGGCCTAAGGTCCCAAGGGGCCAAGGGGCCTCTCCCTGAGCTCCCAAGCCCTAGTGCCATTGGACTTGAGATCCAACGGCTCTGCGATCATGGGCTATTTTCAATTCCCGTATGCCTCCGCTGGGATTCGGATGAAGGCAGGAAAAAACCAATATTCCCTAAGAAATACGAACACATCAAAACCAAGGAGTCATGGTGGAAGTCAATCAACCAAGCAATGGAGGAAAGGCGATTCGATGCGAACGGGCTTGCCATTCTAACAGGAGTTAGTGGTCTGTTTTGTATCGACATCGATATCTCTACAAAAGATGAGAAAAGCAAGCGCCCGGGGATCGAGCTCTGGGAGCAACTTGTCCATGAGCACGGAGAACCGGAAACGCTTCGGGCAAGGACGGGATCAGGGGGCATTCATCTGTACTTCAAGGCCGACTCCCCGGGTTTGAAGCGGAAAAGGAACTTTCAAGGCGTAAAGGTTAACGGTGAAGCCTACGGTATCGATGGAAGGGCGGCTGGAGGAGTAATTTTTGCTGAGCCAACAAGCTATGTGAACGGCCAAGGTGAGCTTGCAATCTACCGGTGGGAGACTGAGAACGGGCCTCCCAGCTACGAGGCATGCCGAGAGATGCCCGTGTGGCTGACGGAGCTGGCGAATAACCCCAACGGCCATGGCCACGCAGCTGCAGGCGAGGAAGAAGAAGAGACAGGTGACGAAACTCAAGCAGCGGATACCAATGCGCCGCCCTCCAACATGACCATTAGTCCAAGCAATCAACGAAACGGCAATACAGAAGCGTCACATGGCAAAGAGCTTTTGTTGAAGGAACAATCGGAGATGCTTAAGGAAATCGGCGACTCAACGAGCACTTTTGCAAGCACACTCTCGCATGGGCTCTATGGAACCTACTATTGCTATCGAACGCATGGGCCACGGAGGTGCTATTTGGGACACATGCACTCCGGAAGCAACAACTTCAATCTGCTGAAGAGAGGCCGCAAGATCTACTATCGCTGCCACGGTGACGACTGCTCCCACAAGCCGGCCAAAAAGCTCGGGGTCCTAAGCCTCAAGGCTGCCTTGCAGGATGCTACTGCAGAGCCGGTCGATCCTGATGACGATATGCAAGCGATTACCAAGTACACCCGAGGCAGTCAAGAGGTGCAAGACTTACTTCTACGCATCGTTATTGAGCATGCGGCTCCCAAGGCCTTTGCCAATCTGGGACGTCTATTTGCTTATTTGTATATGATCGAGTGTCGGATCCTTGCAACTACAAACGAGACGGAGAAGAGTCGAGATCAGATATTCTTTGTATGGAACGGGACCTCTTGGGCACAAGACACATCCAACCTGGTCATGGACGTATTCACAAGTCAGATGGGCTGTCTGTTGGCATGGTATGAGAAGCAGCGAGAGAGGTGCTTGAGCACCTTGTGCGCAGGCCGCCCTGAATTAGAGGGTTTTGTGGTCGGTGGCGTCCTACAGTCTCTCGATTCCAAAGAGGTCGATTCCAAGCAGGCGAAAAAGGTTAAGATGGCTGTGGACTCATGTATAAAAGAGCTAGAGAAGACCATGCCAAGCTTTGGGAAGATCAATGTGCAGGATCCCGCTGATGTTCGCAAGTGCATGCATTCCGTGGTACCTAAGTTGCACGTGAAGGGATTGCTCGACCTGTTCGATCAAGACCCGACAGTTGCAAATGCTCAGAACGGGCTGATCGACCTTATAACGGGTGCTCTGCTTTCCCACCACCCCCAAGATCTCTGCAACAATCAGACTTGCAAGTACATTTCCGGCGCGTCCACACGATCAACCGCCCGATTTCAAACGTTCTTAATGGATATCCTCCCACCGGAGGCGATCAAGTGGCTCCAGATGTTTCTGGGATACTGCCTGACGGGAGAGACATCGGAGGAACTCTTAGTGATTGCCAACGGGCTAAGTGGAGCGAATGGTAAAAGCGCGCTGAAGGGAGCGCTTGAAAGGGCATTCGGAAGCTATGCTTGCCCTGGTAACAAAGCCATCTTTATGAAGCCTTCATTCAAGGCCAATGGTTCCGCGGCATCGAGTCACCTGATGCAGATTCGGACCAATAGATTCGTCTCATGTGACGAAAGCGATGGAGTCGAAGAGCTCCATGCATCATTCTTGAAGGAGGCGAGCACAGGAGGTAGGATCAACGCACGTGAGCTGTTTTGCAAAGCACAGAGCTACGTGCCGCAATACAAGCTTTTCCTATTTACGAACTATCGGCCACACTTTCCAAGTGATGACACCGCCCTCATTCGGCGGATGGTTCTCATGATGTTCAACTACACCTTCAAAACCCCAGACAAGCTTGATGCAAACAATGAATGGCACAAGCCCATTGATGTGAGCTTGAAGCCCTACTTCGAGTCGGATGAAGGAGCAGCTGACACTCTAGACTTTTGCGTTCGGGGAGCAATCATGTATTATGCTGAAAAGGAGCTTGCACCCAGCTCAAAGGTTCTCTCCCCTATTCCGAAGGCGTTCATGGCTGCAGTCGACGAGTATGCTGAAGAGAACGACAAGCTTCAAGCGTTCATTGACGAGGCTTGCACAACCAAGGGCGCGAATCTCAGTGTTGCCAAATCTGATTTCGTTGAGGCCTTCACGACTTTCTTGTATGCGGGCGGACATGATGTGACTTTGGCGGGCGACGGATTGGCAAGAGCGATGTGCTTGAAAGGATTCTCGCAGAAGCCGCCAGGAGGGGGAAACAATCCAATGATAAGGACCCTCGATGGTAAGAAACGGGGAAGAGGCTTCTTTGGGATCCGTTTAAAGACCGACGAAGAACTTATGGAAGCGGCTAAGAAGGATCCCGACCCTAAACAGCCTGATACAACATGATACAACAATCTCGTCATCTTCAGACGGGCGTGTATCAGCTTTAAAAGATCCAGTTTTCCTCTCGAATTAGCGCTATCATGATGCCAACGGACCGGAGTTATGTGTCAAAAAAAGGCCATGTGTCTCCCAAATCATGCAATTGTGGCGAGCCGTTCTGCAATCTGGCCAGTGGGGGTTGATACAATTGATACAAGATACAACATAAAATTGTCAAGAATATTGTTAAAGTGAAATGTCTTCACAACATAATAGGGCAATCCTTTGCCAGAGTCCAGTGTATCAGTTGTATCGGCTCCCATTGCACCAATCTCGCCTCTTTCGCGCTCGCACATGCAAATGCGTGCAATGCGGACCTTCATTGCAACAATCGAGAGCGTGGGAAACCGTTTTTCAACCGTTTAAAGCCATCTAATCTGCTATATAGAGCGTGATACATACCGCGATTGGTGTATCAGCTGTTGTATCGACGTAAGAGCATGCTGCAAGTGCATTGGTGTGTCACGTTACCTCACAAGACTCCTTCTTGAACTTCGAGGCCATATAGAAGTGTTGCCAAGGTGGGCAACTTGGAATGCTCATGAATATCAACGGCGCGCTCCTCTGATCAAGCCCCTCAATGGATTGCTACCTTCGCTCCACAAAACTGCGTACTTTGAGCGCTCAAAGAGCGTGTCAAGGATTGTTGTGACCCTGCTCAAAAGCCGCCGAATGCTAGTGATCTGCTGAAGGCTAGCTGCACATCTCTTCAACCCGGAGTTTATGCCCTCGGAGGCCGTCGTGATTGTGTGGCTGTGTTGCGGAAAAGAGTCGATGAAGAGCGTCGGAGAACAAGTGTGCGTCGCATAACGCTTGGCTCCCGATGGAGCGCAGCTCACAGGGCCCGAGTGGAAGCGATCCACAATGAAGAGCATGAACTTGGCGAGCTGTGGCACCCGGTTGAGGGGCCACTCCTGAGCGTTGCAAGCAGCGTCCTCGACAATTGTGAGCCCTCGCAGCGTCTTGAAAGGGAATCGGGTGAGCAGCACCGTGCCGAGGTCAGAAACGGACTCCCCACCCTTCAGCCAATGATAGCCTAGGGGAGCCCGATCTTGGCAGCAGGCAATGAACACCCCAGCGCGGCCCTTGGAAGACCGAGGATTTGGAGCGCTGCAGTGCTGGCTGAGCCGCTCCTCCGACCCCTTCTTCACTCGGCCCATCTCGTCTTCCCAATCCTCGAATCTTGGGCGCCCATAGAGCAACGAGTGGAAAGGATATTGAGAGACTTCAGCAACTCGCTCCGCATAAGCTGCTGAAGGCGCCTGAAGGAAGCCACCCTCTCCATAACACTCTGGCTCACGAACCTCCAGCTCAAATAGGAGCGAGTTGGCGGCCCTCTTCAGCGCCACGCCCCTTTGCTCAGCGTACTAAATTGCAGCCCCTTCTTGCTGTTCCACGAGCCGCCGCTTCTCACGCTCGACCGCCCAGAGGTGCTCAGTTGCATCGTGGAGGGTAGCCAAAGGCGACAGAGAGGAGGAGCAATGCCAGTTGGCGCTTGGCTCAAAGCAAAGGAGATTGGTCGCATAGATGTCCCGCAAGAGAGGCCTCACTGTCGTCGGAAAGGCATACAAGCCGCCGCCAACAGGTTGATGGCGCAAGATGGCCGCCAGCATGGGGCCGTCTTCAGAGAGGTACGCCATCCCTCGCTCGTCAAGCGGCCCTTCCAGCAGCAGGTGGCGGAGCAGCTTGAGTGTCACCACGTGACCAAACACCCACGAGTAGCGGGGGATGAGGAGGGCGTGGAGGAGAGCCCCAAACGGCTGGAAGTGTGTCGGGCACCAGCCCGTCGCCCCCACAGGCCCTTCCTTGAGAAATCCTTGCATCCAAGGCCGCCGAGGGACCGCCTTGCAGATCGCACACGTGTCAGGGGTTGGACACGCTCCCGACTCTGTCACGTGGTCAATGAGAGCCCTCACGTTTGGAGGCAGCCCCTCGCGCATGGTCGCAAACTCCTCGGCCGACAGGGGCGCATTGCTTCCTTGTCCTGGCGCCTTGCGAAAGTTGCACCATCTGAATGCCAGATTGCGAACGGCCGGCCGCAGCTCCGATAGTCCGTTGCGAAACTTCCAAGGGCAGTCGATTCCTTCCAAAGGCACGTTCGAGGGTCGCACTCCACCGACGCTTAGGGGCGTGAAGCCGCCAGCTACCCGAGGCGCCTCCGGATCCGGTTCGCAGATGCTATGCAGCGAGGCCTCCGAGCTGTCGCGCATGGCGCTCGAGTTGGCAAAAAAGGTCCCATCGAAAGTGATGAACCTTGTCCCGGCCGAAGGCATAGGTTGACAGGTCGGAGCTTGGCCCCTCCATTCGCTGCGCTCTGAGAGGGCTGCCAGCTTTTCGAGCCTCCGCTTCGGCCGCCTCCACCTCTGATGTGTAGAGGTGCGTGCAGTTGGCACGTGAGCAGACGTGCTGGATGCGCGAGCGTGCAGCTAGGTCGTTGAAGGCTTGCATGGCCGCATCAAAGACCCGATCGTCCAGCCTGGGCACGTCTGACCCTTCGAGGCACCGCGTAGCCATGTCGGATGCATCGAAGTTGAGCGAGTGGCTTGCACCAAGGGCCGCACCAAAGTGGTTGCGAAGGAGGAGGCCGTGGGAGATCAGGGTGTGGCCCGAGAAGTTGAAGATGCCATCTTCCTGTAGAGTCATAGCAAAGGAAGGCGGTTAGTTGCTGCGTTTAAAACGAGTGTTGTCTTTTGGGGGCTATCAATAGCGGTCCGTCCTCCAGAATGGACACCAACGCACATTTAGGATTGGTGTTGAACATCATCGGCGAGAATGGCAAGCTCGACATTGAAGACCTCTCAAACGCTGCTTGTACATGCACAGACGCACGTGACTATGTAGAAAGCAGGCTACACGAGTATCCACAATCAACAAGAGCTCCCTTGCCAGGTCCGCATCCTTGCGGAGAAGTGCTCCCAATGCAAAAATGTACGATCTGTAAGCAGAGCGATTTTTGCTTCCACTGGCCCTTTCCACACCTTCTTGGAGTAGCTGTTTGCAGAGATTGTATCGCAAGAAAGTACGGTGTCCTGGGCTGTTTGACAACCATGGAAGCTCGACGCAAGTATCGAGTGCGTGATCTATCACGCTTGCCTTGGGTTCCAACACCTGAGCCACCTTATAAAGCCCGCTTCTATCTCAAATCGAGCATCGTGCTAAGAGCGCTTCAGGAGAAGAATGAAAGTCGAGACTTGCGAAAGGCACGTGGCGCTAGCAGCAAAAGGGCGATGGCGCGATCGAAGATGAAAGAAGCTTGTGAGGCTTTTACTCCCCCGGATGATCTTCATCGTTTGTGATTGTATTCGCCTCTAATCATCTTCTAAGTGCGCAACAACGAACAACAATCAGCCCACGTTGCTGCAAGCGTGAACGGTGTTGGAAGCCAAAACTCACCTGTCCATCGTAAGCTAGTGAACAGCACGCCGCCTCACGCCCTGGAGCGATGCGGCAAACCCGTCGGTACGTGGTGACCTCGTAGCGCGCGCCGGCCATTGTGAGCCCTCCTTTTCTGCTCTCGAGTTGCCAAGGTTGACCGCACGGCGCCCAAGGATTGCAAGGTCTGGGGCCGCAAAAGTGTTGGACCTGGTCCCGTTGCCTGACCCCTTCCTCTCCCCAGCGCTCGCAGAGGCTGGTGACAGCCACCCCCCCTTGGCTCATGACCGTGTTGACCTTCTTGTGGCTGTGGCCCATATCGAGAGCAGCAGCAGAAGAGCACTCCCACAGCTCGAGGGTAGCTTGATGCGTGCACGCGCCCTTGAAATCAGGCCGTCGGCACACAGGGTGGTTGCAGACCAGGAGCTTCCTCGCTCCCGCCTCTCGTTGCTCCTGCCTCTCTGCTCGCCTCTTGGTGAGAGTCGGGCCCTTCCCATTGTGTGCACCATCTGCAACGGGGCCCTCAAGTCCAGACGTTGCCAACTCTGAGAGCACCCTCGAGAGGTGTCGGCACCGGTCCGCACCATTGCAGTCCACGTGGCTACAGTGCGTACTCTTGCCCCCCAGCACGCAAAGTACAGGCTGCTCTCCCCGATCACACACGACAAAGACGCGAAGTTGTGGACCGCCACCCCACGCCTCTGCGTCTAGTCCGTAGAGAGGCGTCCCAACACGCCCCCATTGATCTAACGGCAACACCCACTGCACGCCTCCTCTTGTGACTTCGTGCACAAAGGACCGACTTTCGTTGAAGGAGGTGAAGTTGGCAAGCCCTCCTTGCCACCAGCCGTTCAACAAACGAGTCTCTTCGAGGAAGCTCGTCTCATGATCTCTGCACGCCCTCTGCCCGCACACGCACGCAGTTTTCCCCGTATGGTCGATCTTAACGAGCCGCGGCACGTTCACGAGCCCCTTGTCTGTCATTGAAACGTCCAAAAGGCGCCCGTCTGAGGCCAACTGTGGTACCAAGAAGAGGCCAGGGGCAATGGCCATTGGTGGAATCTTGCTTCGAGCGAGCTCCGCCAGGATGGCCATCCGCCCAAGCTCCAATGGCGCCGGCCCTTCTTCGAGCCCCCTCTTAATTCCACGCTTAGAAGTTGCCTTCGGCTCGGTGCAATACGTGCAAGGCGCGAGGTCTCTTCGTTGGACGAAGAAGTGGTGCCCACCCTCTGTAGCCGCCTCCCCTGATCGTGCCTGGCGCAGGTCATTCCTCTCAGGAAAGACCTCGAATTTCGCGAACAGGTCCCGTTGAGGGATGGCGCATCCCGTCTTCTTCGATACAAAGGGCCGTCCTCCGACGTACTCGGCCTCAACACAACGGATGCACAAGAGATGCCCCCCAGCGCCAGGGCAGATGACCGCCCCACCTCGGTTGCGCTTCCGCTCCCAAATGAAAGGCTCTTGACCTCGGGCATAGATCGGGTTCTTCCCAAGGCACGTGCTCCCCATGCAGGCAGTGCCGAACCCGTTCCGAGCAAAGGCCTCCGTTTGACGCAGTTGAAAGGCGAGCCCATAGTCAAAGACGAACTCATCGAGCCCCTGCTGAGCAGCATATGAGGCCCGCCCCCCGCGCACGCCGCCAGCATTTGGTGGAGGTGGGACGGCTGCTGGGACGCTCTTGATGTCCGAAAAGGTTGGGGATGGGCCTTCAAAGTGGACAGCAGCGTAGCTCCGCACCGCTTGCCCGGCTGTTAGAGAGGCGTGTAGAGCGACCGAGGCGGCTGGAGTGGTCGAAGCGAGCAGCACGGTGCTAGCTAGCTCCAGAGGGTCTTGAGTTGATGAAAGAGGCTCCATCCTGTTGACGGGAGGACAAATTGTTAGTTTGAGCCTCTTTTCGTTCTCCTAAGTCTCAAAGCACCATCGCCCTTCGATGCATCGTGCTGCAAAGTACCCTGATTGTACCAACTTTTCTGAGGTGTTGTAGTTCACCGCGCTGTACCAAGAAAGTGCGTATTGTATCTTAAAAAAGAATTGGAAGAAGCTTGGTACACCACTGCAAGGTCGGCCATTCCACAGAGTTTCTGAGATGTTGTACTTCATTGCGCTGTACTAAGGAAGTGCCAATTCTATCTTTATAAAGAATTGGAAGAAGCTTGGTACACCACTGCTTGTGTGGCCAGGTCGGCCATTCCACGGAGTTTCCTGAGATATTGTAGTTCATCGCGCTGTACCACGATTTGGCCTTCTATATCTTTAAAAGAATGACATTGAATCTTGGTACATCA